CCAACATCGCCATCAAGATTGAAGAAATCATCTAAATCTCCAGCAAGGTCAAAGAGATTGAGCAGGTCAAGGTCTTCTTCGGAATCAAAACGATCTGTATCTAGATCTCCGTCACGTTCAAAAAAATCTCCGTCTCATTCACCGGAAAAATCAAGGTCCAGAAGTAGGACCAGGTCGTTATCGAAAGGATCCAGGAGCCGATCTCTATCGAAGAAGTCTAGAAGCAGATCTTTGTCAAAGAAATCGCGTAGTCGATCACTTTCGAAGAAATCTAGAAGTCGGTCGCTATCGAAGAAGTCAAGGAGCCGTTCGCGGTCATTGTCCAGGCTGTCGCGAGATAAAGAGAAGAGAAGTCATAGTAGGAGTAGTTCACGTTCTTCTTTAAGGTGAATAATTAGTCTTTTTTACATGTATTTCCTTTACTCCATTCTTATAAGAAATTGTTTAATGTATTTCTATTTTATGTCCAGTTCAAGGCATAGTCGTAGAAGTTTCTCTAGTTCATCGCGGTCATCAAGCAGTGTTTCTAGTAGGTCTTCTCGTTCAACGTCCAGCAGTTCAGCTTCTAGTAGGTCTCGGTCTCCGTCGATACCTCGACGTCATGGCTCACCTAGTTTTCTAGATAGACGTCGTATTACAAGGTAGGTATCTATACAACGGTAGTTTCGATATCGTAGCATCAGGTTTTACAGCGCACCACGCCAAATCTTGTAAGCTCACATTGTTGTATCAAACGTAGAAACGTTTATCTTCTTTCGACTTTTATTTTTTATTTTCGTTTTTTGATTTTATATATTCATCATCGATGTATCCATCTCACGATTGAAACGCTCACTTGTTTAAGAAGTTCCGATTAATAATAAGCAATTTGCAAAGCGACGATATCGATAAGTTTACGATGAATTCACGCTTGGACGTTCTTTTATTAATGCTATTTTGTGTTGTGTCCTACAGAGACAGATCGAGGGACAGGCATAGAAGATAAAGTTACGACTTCGCACAGATGTTTCTATTACTTTCCTATAATTATAATGTAGTAGTAAACATGTGATGCATACCGAATTTCATTTTTAATAAGTAAATGAAAAAAGAAAGAGAAACAAAGCAATTTTAGCTGCAACCATAAAGACTAGTTTAATGATTATTGATGATCAAGCATAAAGAATGGTATAGTTTAATTATAATTATTCGTGCATATTGTGGCACATTAAAACTTTATCAGTATCAATTCAATAATTTTCTAAGGAACTACTTTCGACACTCGTATACACTTACTATGCAATGCGTCTAATTAGCGAACTCCCCGCATCTAATTACCCGCGTTATGTAAAATGAAAGTATACTCCGTCACAACTTATATATGAATTTCGTTTCAAGTCAGTCAAGTATACTTATGTTTGTATGATTTTTTCTTCCCCCTTTTTTCATTTGTATCTAATTGCTTATAAAATGTTCTAAATATGAGTAGACGTAGCATGCGTGTATCTTCCTTATAAATTATTGTAAATGACATATTTACAGTAGAGATTCTCTTTTATTTTGTCAGTCACGAATAAAATGTATTTACCGCTACAAAAGCAAGCTGTTTTCTTTAGTTCTTGATATACATTTTTGTTCGTTGTGTTCTGTGAATCATTTTCAATCCACTGCCTTCCTTTATTAAAATTACAGCAAGGTAAGTAACACGTTTTTATTTTTGCATGGTTTCTTTTGTTGCATTGCATGGTTTATTTTGCACTTTTTCAATATCTTTTTTTCAATATCTATTATTAATGATAATATGTATTAATATCTACTTAAATTATTTAATTCATGTAAGAGTTATTTACGATTAACATATCTTTATCTAATTTTTAACAAACGTTTTTTATCGTATATAACTGTGTGATTATCATAATATTAATAGTCCTTAATTTTAGCGCCAGGAAACGACCAATTCCATATCATCGACCTACTCCGACACCACCTTCGTCACCGAGTAGTTCAGATAGCAGCAGACATAGTAATTGGTCAAGTCCAAGTCATCGATCAAGTTGTTCCCCGAGTCGAAGTCCATCATACACGCGTTGAAGCGATTGAGCGAATCCCTAAAGACTAGACGTTCCTTTCATGTATCAGATTTAGAATGGTGCAGATCATGAAAGTCCTTTGATGCTTTTTTCTAACATCATGTCTTACGTCATGTTAAATCATGTTTATAATGTTGGAAATTGACACGATTGTAAAGAAAGGTTTCACTGTATTTTTTCGTATCAGGAAGGTACAAAGATAATACACCATTCTGAGTTTGGTGCATCATCTTTAAATCTTTGTAAATTCTTAATATGCATTTACATGTTTGATCTCGTAACTCGTAACTTAATAATACTCATCGATGATGGTTCACAGTAATACCATCAGCTTCAGTATTAGTAACACTAACGTTATTTCTATTGCTCCATTTTTATTTTAGTCAGATATTAGGTAAAAATGATTTTAATGTACTTACAGTATGATATTTATATCATTATTAAGACAACCAAAGAAATGAAAGATTTAAGTTTGTCTATCATTCATCTTTCAATTTTATGAATTGAAACATGATTTAAAAGCTAGATGTGCAAGAGTAACCAGAGATAAGATATTTTAATAATAGGATATATGACTAATTTATAGCAAAATTTTATAACACCATCATTTTTGGAAGTACATTATCTTCCTCGATTATATTGTCTCACGATCTTGTGAATTTTATGTCTTCATAAAATAATGTTTTTCGTAGACTTATGTACATCTACGTACTTAAGCAATAAGAAGACAATGATGATTATAAGCATCATGAAGTATGTTGATTGCAGCTTCTTAAGATCTCACATCATTATTCAGTAGCAATTCTATTATTTGAAGGTTCATTTAAAACTACTCTAGTAGTACAACGTCCGGGTGATTATCTAATCATATAATTGTTTGTTATACAAACACCAGCTAGTCAAATTTTAGACATTCCATTAGTAATTAACATACTGAAATATATTCAAATTGATCTATTAATTTTTCAAAGAAGTAATTCATATTTTAGTGCAATGTTTTACACTTGTTCCTTTTGTATATACATATATATTATTGTGTATAGACTCAGCACCATGCTCGTTTGCTATATTAATTTATTTATTTTCTGACTTACATATATATATATATTTATTTATTTATTTATTTATTTATATCATGAATAGCTAGTCATTTGTCAATTGAAGACAAGAAAAATGTATAAAAGTGATGTTAAACTATTAGAGTTTCGTTTACTGGCAATACTCAATTTATCTGAATGCTAGTCAGAAAGTTTTCATTTGGCTGTAAGGCCAGGCAGCGTACCAAAAGACATAATTAGACTAGTCTTGATTATTCAAAGTTAAGTCTTGAAAATGTATGTATAGGGTTAAAAAATCATATTTGAAAAGTCTACATTGTTTATGATTAGGAGGAAAAACTATGTAGAATTAGTTCTTGCATAATGACTGACTCAGTTTTATTGAAAAAAATGTCAATTGCTATAGTGTTGCAACATTAATTCACCTTTGATGCATATCTATGAAACGGAACTGAAACATAAATATGTAGATACTTATCACATGAAAAACTTGATTTTAAAATTAATATATGTAAGGTCTGGAAAATTCATTCTATTATTTGATTAATGCGTTTTACAATATTACAAATATTGTAAATTCTCTGACGAATTATGAAGTGGAAGTTATTTATACGAACGTAGGAAGGAAAAACATTGTTATCTTTGCACACCATGGCTCTTGACATTAATATTTATTATTCATAATTTACAGCCATCAAATGTTACCATCGTTGAAATGAAAGAAATTCTGATTATATCTGTAATATACTCTGTATTGTTGTTGTGTGATTAAATTAAAAAGCTTAAAATATTTTCTCCTTCTTTTACAAAGCATACAAAATTCATTTATATATATATATAACCATTCTTATACCACAGCTTAGATACTAGTAAGGATAGTGTTCAGTTTAAAACTGCCTATAACGTACAGTAGTATAATTATACACAGACTAGACTGTGTAACATTGGAATGAGAAATTATTTACATAATTTATGTATAAAATATGTAGTACTTGATAAATATGTATCCCATAAGCAGTATATCCTTTTTATGTTTAGTAATATAAAAATTAAATCTCTATTATATGAATATGTTAGTATCTTGCTCCACTGATGTTATTTTGTAGCTTTTGTCTGTTTAGAACGCTGTTGTGCTAGATATATAGCCCAACAAAAACCAATAAGATTTACCACAAGAACACGTAACTGAAAAAGATTGTTAAATATGTATTAATTTTGAAATCATTTCAGTAAGTAGTTTAATTTAGGTTATTAAATACTCAAGTGAACTTACAATTGGTGGAACATATTTTAAGTTAATAAACTGAAGTAATGTTAAATATTTTAAATTTGCAGTAAGTACTGGCAAATATAACTTTTTCATTTGTTTCAAAGCATCATCATGTGAACTACCCTACAACAAAAAGGAATTTGGATAGTTGGAAAAGACAATAAGTGATGGAAACAAATTGACATGCATAAATAGATCATACCTCAAACATAGACAACATGTATAATGCTAATGCCTGATAACACGGTGTATATAAACATCTTTCTATTAACAAAAGAATTAAAGGGTTTCTCACAAATGGATTTATATATGTATAAAAATAATGTGGAAGTGGGCCTCCAAAGAATAGCCTACAAAAGAAGTAATACTTTGAGAGGACAAATCAATTTTTGATGAAAAATTACAATTATACTAGCTGTACTTAAGTACTTGATTTAGTCCATAATTTATTGAAACTTACCCAAAGAGAGCAAATGCGAGGAAACTGTCTTCATTGAAACGCTTTGCACCAGATATTTTTTGCGAAATAAAATTTCCGAGAGCTGCGATGACACAACTAAAAGAACAAATAACATTCCCTTTAAAATATATTTTAAAAGTGGAACGTAATTTGTATTCGCTGTGACATACCTAGTGATTGCTTTAGTTTTCAGCGGACTCGTATAAAGACGTTCGAAATAAGCAGAAGTAAGTTGAAGTATTAAATCTTTAGGCTTAGAAAGAGCCATTCTGATTGTTCTATTTCTCTATATCAAATAAGTGATAAAAAGGAAGTGAGAGTTAAACGTGGTATTTCGTCAAAGTATGAACCGAACGATCTGATAACAAACAGTAAATTGTAGTGAACACTACAAACAGTTAAATGCCACACATACAAGTTCCGTTGATCTGGCAAGTTATTAGCATATAACACGACCAAACTAAAACTAAAAGTATTATTAATTTATTGTACCATCTGAAATTACATCACAATAAAATAAATAAGTTTAAAATAATGCATAAAATATCATAATTTAACAGATTGCAAAATTGGTCATAGTACATAGTACATAAGTCGACAGTGACGTAAGATAGTTAAAAAACAAATATAGCCTATAAAAAAAGAATAATTGCTATTTTTTTGTAATATTTTTTCCATGATTATAAAACATGTATTTAACTTATGTTAAAATGCGCATATATTCTTTTTAGTAATGTCGAGGTTAAGTTTTGTGTGGTAGTATCAGTGTATATACACTGTATGTACATATGTATTATGTGCTATAACTGTATATCAAATATTAGTAAACTTTTCATCAAATATTTAGGACATGGCCCAAGGAAAATTAAAAGTGAAAGCTAAAGTGCCATCGACGGTAAAAGGAAAAAGTAAGAACAAAAAGAGTTCTGGTATTCAAAGACGAAATAGTAAGTATTTTTTTATAAACTTCTACCATAAAATAAAGCGTTGTAAATTGTAAGTAAAAAAATTAAATTATATGTAAATTTATTAACAAAAATTGTTTGAATTTTTTTATTTATAGATGCACCTATTCAACCTAAAAAGAGGAAATTTGAAGAAACACATAAGTTAAAACAAATAATTACAAAAACAGTTAACAAAGCAATGGAAGATGAATTGAGAGAAAAAGCTTTGGAAGGAAAAAGATTACTTACTAGAAAGGAAGCAGTTACGTTGAAAAAGAAATAATTTATGGTATTATTTTAAGATTGATACTAAAAAAGACTTCTTTATTTTACTGAAATAATAAATGTAATATAAATAAAGATTTGTATTGTAAAATGAACAATACAATGATACAAAACGATACAAAGAATAAAAATAAATAAGCAAACCATTTCAATATATATATGTAAAATTTATTGCTAACAAAGGGATGTAAATAATGGGAAAATAGTATAAAATCATATATCTGTTAAGATTTAAGATCATTATTTTAATTTGTATTGTTATTTCATAGAATAATTCTGAACATGAAATCAATGGCACAGTGACTTATAGGATATAAATATAAAAAGAAAATAATAATTTTCAGTGCACCTGCAAAACATCCCGCAATAAATTACTTTTTTGTGCGATTATCCGACAATAGTTTCCTAGAAGGCACAAGGGTTTCGTTTTTAATTGATTCACATCGACGGCGAAAGGTTTTCATTTCGCTGATAATGCGCTAATTACAAAAATAAACATTATTTCACAAGATATTTTACATAACTCATATAACAAGGTACAAAATTGTGAGTTCGATTTGATAAATGTACTAAATTTTAATATATTATCTCTTCTTAATAAACTTCCACTCTAGATCACATCGATTAAGGCTGCGTTACGTATCGTATTTTGTAGGCTGAACGCTTCTTTCTAAGTACAAGTTCCTTTAAAACATTATTTGAACTTTATGGAGAAGCCACCTACAACGTTAAACACAAATACAAGTTGAGCAGCATATCTTATTTTGAATCTACCAAATGTTCTACAGTAGTCCCCGTTTAATGTTCGCTAGTTTGAACCTGTGCAATGAAAACTATTCTAGAAGGTGAATTCTTAGAAGTTACACGGGTTTATTCCTTTTCGGTACTTTCATCTCAGACTGCAAGAGCGAGACTGTGACATTCAGAGCGAATGACACGCTCACTCTGTAATACCAATTCCAGGAATTGATGGGAAAGACTCCGCGAACATTAACTGGAGTAAAACTGAACTAAACACAAAGCAAGGTTTATATTTACCACTAATAAATGTCCACTTTGTCTGTTTTTACTAATGGCTGGAGTTGTACCAGTTCTGAATTCAATCACACCTTCTTTACCACTGACTAGTTTATGTGACACTCTGAAACGTGATATTAGTTAAGCACCCAGCATGAGCATATTTGTTTGTTTTTAATCAGGGTTCATTTCTTTAATTAGAATTAACTATTTTTATTTGTACTTACGATTCCGTATGAACAATTTTAAGAATATTTGGGTTATTAGTGATATCAATTGCTTTTGTTAATGCTTCTATGATATGTGGTACCTCCAAAATTAAATCACCCTAAACAAAAGATAAGTAACGACAATTAAGAAATATTAGTAATTCATTTACACTTTTTTAATAGTATAATAATGACAAACCTTATCCTTTTTTAATTCGGGTGGTATCCTAACGATCAATAAATTGTCCGATTCTCCAGTAACCACCAACTCTTCAATTGATTTATACGGTAATCGATGTTTAAGTTTGAACGTTTTTAAGGTATCTAAAATATACACAGCATGCTCTGTTAAAATTAATACCCTTTCACGGGGTTTATAACCATGTCGATCATATTTAATAACAGGAGTCGCATACTAAAGAAGAGATAAATAAAAAATATTATTAGAACTAAAATTTAAAAACTATACATTTTAAATATAAAAAATTGTTTACTTTTATAGTTTCATTTTTAGAAAGATGATTATTAATGAAACTCTGTCTCAAGGCATTGTATTCGGGACCAAGCCGATCATTCTTGAACTTTGGTCCAAAACTCTTTGCATACGATTTCTTTTTGTCTTTGAAGAGAGATTCAGCTAAAATTTTTAATTCGAATTGCTGCTTATCCTCTTTTGACAAAGCCAATCTATAATTCCGAGCTTTCCATTTTTTGTATATGATGCGCAAATGTTCTGAGGCCTAAATCGAAACATCATTATTACTTTATAAAAAGACACATACATACATAGAATTAGACAGTCGTTTATCTTACTTCTCGACAAGAATATGGACATGGTGGCCAATAATTATTTAACACACCAACTGGAAGTGACTTAGAGAGCTTGATTAACCACTGAGATTTTGCTAGCTCGATAAAAGCGATGTTAAGCTCTGTTGGTGGCCCATTTCGTGTAATAAATCCTTCGATAAATCTACATAGAATTATTTTAATTTATTGTATATATCTAAAATGCGTAAAAAATATTTAATCAGGAAAATTGATTCATAATACCGTCGAATAATAATAACTGCTTTTCGCCTTCTTTCAGCTTCCTGTTTCGCCAACCATCTTCGAATATACTTTTGAAAAACTACTGCTGCCTTTCTCATGTTTAAATACCTTCGTCTTATTAATATACACTTCCATTTACTTTGAATAATAGCAGCTATTTCATGCTTCTTCATCTGGAAGGCGTCTTCCGTATCGAATAATGTCTTAGGGAATCGAATGAATAATTTTGTACTGTGTAATAAATTTTATCCAGTGTTAGATGCATTTTTCAATAAATAAAAAATAATGTAACTTTTTATTTGTGTTAACAGTTCTTACTTGCCCATCCTGTATTCATCTTCTTCGAAACCAAGATGACACACGAGTGTCTGTACACCTTCTTTAGCGGGACCATGATAGTTAGGCCATGTTTGCGGACACAGAGATTTATAACGTTGTAAGAATTGTTCATAGGGCCTTCTGTAGGCAAAACCAGCTCGCCTTACTCTTAAATTTTCCATAAGACCTAAATACTTTACTTGATGCAGTATAATTTTCTCGTTGAATTTATCTAAAATGATATTACAAATATTTTGAAATATATAAAATATTTTTCGAATATAATAAAATAGGAATTACTGAAACTTACTAGGCATTTTATAGTCATTGGGTTTAATACAACGAATATAAGAAGGTTCTTTGCCCATAAGAATCTCCACCAGATTATTTAAACTGTTTTTAAATTGCGTAATAGCAGTATCTGGTCGTTTTTTGCTGGTCAAATCTTTTACGTCAAACACGTTCTACAAAATCATAAATTTTAATACGAAAAACCGGGGAAATAATGTTTCGATATCAATTAGTGAAAGTACCTTAATAATCGAGTTCGTCGTGTGCGACATTACTTCACGCAAATCTCTATATAATAAATCATTATTCTTCTCAAGGAACCCACGGACGTTGTACGTTACTTCGCCAGCGTAATGCACCAATCTAAACTCCTGAAATACACAATTATGTTAGGGAAAATTATATTAGAAGATTATATAATAAATTGTGAGGTTTAAGTCTTACATCACGTCCCATAACTTTCTGTGTTTGTAGATCTGCTTTCATGTGGCTTATGTAATGAGGATGATTATTCAAATTTACATTCAATTTTTCCAGGAAGCTCAAATCGGTTGGTTCTCCGGGACGGAGGCATTCTTCATCCATTAAGGATATTATACCTGAAACAGATACACATAAAATAGTATATCGTATTTACAATTTTCATTAATTTACTAATGTAAATTTTGAATCAATACCTTTATATTTTTCTTCGATTAAATCGCAAATGACTTTATTATTAAAATATTGAACATTTTCCCACGTTATTCCCTCTCTCAAATACTCCTCTTGTTCCGATTTCAATGTCAATTGAATAAAAAGTTGCTGCAACTTCTCATTGCAGTAATTTATACAGAACTGTTCGAAGCTATTGAATGATATCTTTCATGAATCGTGTAATGAAAAAAAAGACGATTATTAAATAAACATTATTTAACCTTAGAGATCATGTACCTGTTCTTCTGAAAGATTTCGAAACCATAAATATCCAGGATTCCTATGACCATTTTCTTATGTGGATTGTTAATCGGCTGCAAGGATTTATTCAATCTGGTCACGAGCCATGTGAACAGTCTGTCATATACAGCTTTCGCCAACGCATCCCGTGCATAAATCGCAAATTCTCTGTTCAACGGGGAAACGACCACGTCACCGTGGGCGTCTATGGTGCGATTTGTAAAGGCCCCCGCCAACTGCTTTATGTCGCAACCCAATAACTGTGAATGAATATAAAAATTGAAAATAATTGGCCAACAAATTTCCATCAAACGAATCGTAAGAGACTGAAAGATACTTTATTATCTATTTTACTATTTATGTGTGGTATGGATGCCTTAGACTTACAGCGGCAACCGCCTCGACAGAAGCTGGTTTTAAGATTTGCGCGACACCATCTTCCTCGGTAAAACCAACATTTCCCATGTGCAATACCGATGCAACTATTGCGAATAGGTCATCCTGTTCCTGCTGAGTCATCTCCATGGTCTTCATCGCCTTTATTACTTCATTATACTGAGTCGCATCGTCGATACTGTCTATGGTGCCTTTCGTCTAAAAATAATATGGAACCTGTCTCGCAATGTACGTTAAAAAACAGTCGGTTGATTAGAAAGCAAAAATAATAGCTTACCCCATTGGTAAGGTAATAGTACGTATCTAAATTTCTCTTCAGATATAACTTCCGCAAAGTCTCCTCGTCTGCTCCGGCTAACAATTGATAAAATATATGAAAATTACGCTCTCCCGAAAATTGATGCACTACTCGTGATTTCTCGAGTAGGTAATTCAAGATGTTTCCACCGATTGGATCTCCCTGGAAAGATATTAGATATCATTCATTCGTAACACATTCTTTTCGCGCCAATAAGTAGGTGTTAATAACTATATATGATACAATTAACATTATTTAAACATGAAGACAAAGATAAGGACATTTAAAGATAAAGACAATGAGACAGTTCGTTCATTTGTACCTGGAAATTAAATTGGATATCCATGTACTTGCCGAAACGGGACGAGTTATCATTGCGATTAGTTTTCGCGTTCCCGAAAGCTTCGAGCACCGGATTGCTACCGATCAATTTGTCATTTACTTCTTCCACTTGTTTCTTGTGCCCGGTGGCAGCTGCGATAAACTCTAGCACTTTCTTCGAAGCTTCGGTTTTCCCTGAACCGGATTCGCCTAAACGATCAGTTCCAAGCACGTTAAGCTTATCTCTAGCATAAGTTATTACATTGCCGCAGAAATAGAATTTTCTTAAAATACCCAACAAACTTTATTTAATTATT